TTCTCTCTATTTTGTACCTCCCTGATTGTATACGCTGTTACCTTCTCCTCCCCCCCCCTCCGCGCATACTGGGCTATGCGCTATATGCGGCATGGAAAGTGTATTAATCTCAGTATCTTGCGAACGAATCGAGTCTAGCTATAATCCCGCGTGAAATTTTGAGTTATTGAGGAAGCACGAATAGTTTAATTAATTACCAAAAAATATACGCCACGGTATGGTAGCGAGTATGGGATAATATATATGAGGGCGCGGCCGTTATGGCCCGTGGATAGTGTACTAACCTAATGATCTCGGCGGAACGATTTGAGTTAGACTTTCTTAAAATTCTAGATACCTGAATAGACGAGCTGTCTTAAGACTAACTCTCTGTGAATTATTGGGGAGTTATGAGTATGAAGGGGGGCAGCAAGTGGGTGAGATGAGGCGCGCAGGGTCGGCCGGGGGCGTCGGAGGCGAATGGGGTGATTGAATGCATGAGGCACGGAGGGAATAATGATTATGAGGAGGGTGGCTCCAATGCAGATATTGCCTTAGAGGTGAATTACTGGATGATTAAATGTTCGAACCAACGGACCGACTTTCAAGGGACATGGGGACTACCCGGGACCGATGGCGTAGCACGCCTGTACTGTCGTGGGACCTGGCCCACTGATCCTCTATCTATATGTCTAACCAATACAATACATCTTATATACATCTCTATAATATACCCCTATCATATATATATCTATGTTAGTATAGGCTAATAGTAGAAGATCAGCGGTACTGCACATTCGTACGGCTGGTACACACTGCTGTATCATGTAGTGGTATTTGTAATGCAGGCGCGCGTAGGGGGTTCGAGTCGTGTGTTTCGCAACATCTTGAATCATCTCGTAATTGCACTTTCTAAGGAATATGCTGGCATGTGGGCAGCCCATCTACATACGATTATAGTACTCCATAAGCTCACCAAAACTGTGGCCAAGTTTGAGACTTTGTTGTCACTCCTGTAACGATTTGGCTCATATTTGCACTATTGTAAGGAACGCTGAACTAAAGCCGGCGCACCGTACTTGCGAACAATGTTGTGCTCAAAACAATTAGTCGTATGCATGTCCATGAAATGTTCGTGGGTGTTGCAATGTGGCGGTCGAAAAAAAAGTTGCGAACATTTGTCGCGAACAATATTTTCTGAAGATCGGAAATGTTTGATTCTCGAACATTGTTCGCCGAAATGTTCGTCAATGTGCGCATGCATGTCGACATTTACGACTTGTAAAGTAGTAACCAAACTAGGCAGCAACGATATTGTGTCACATGATTTTTGTCCCAATCATGCGCCGAATTCACGTGACTCTTTGACAACACAGCACATCATCTACATGACATATCAGCGTCAATTAAATGATGCAAATGATAAGACATAATTTTGGCAACCAAGGTAACTAAAATAAAGTCAGGTTCCTTTCGACGTAGCAGTAAGTTACACGTATTATTATTATTATTACTATTATCTTTATCATTATTATTATTATTATTATTATTATTATTATTATCATGACTCATAATAATAATATTTTGAACGACAGTTCATTGATAAACGCGAGAACAGAAGCTTGCAAGCTTTCAAAAAAAAGCTAAAAGTGCTAAAAAGTCACGTTCTTTTACCTCGCCATCTCTTCCTCCATCTTCGTCAGGGCGTCGGACTTCCATTTCTGCATGACCTCCTTCAACCTCGCCAGCTCAGCTTCCCTCTCCTGCAGTTGTAGCTCGTACTGCTGGCTTCGGGCCTTGGCCTGCACAGTCCGGATCTGTTCAACATGATCCTGGCACAAGAATCCTCAGTAATTATCTCCTACTAGTTTGCTTTGGACCAAGCCATGCGTACACCCGACGTAACAGCAGAATCTGCGGGTTTTATCTTGAGAGTGCGTGGGAATTTTTGAGCACGTACATTCTTAGGTACTCCTGCTTGGATTATATCAAGAGCCAACAATATTAATATAATATGGCCTTATGACTTCACTGAGTCGCTATGCAGCGCATTTAACACCAACATGCCCTGTACTGACAGTGTGCACTTCACCAATCTTTGTACAAAACCGCATTCAAATGTTATAATCTTATGTTATATTCCGCTCGTATTTCGTTTATTGCATCTGCAATACCTTTATTTCTAATTGTTTCTTACTTACCGTACGTAGTTCGTTAACGGTTCCCATGTCAGCGCTTCTTATAGCTGCCTAACCAACTATACACGCGTGCTGTATCAGCGGTATACCTTAAGAAGAAGTTTTCGCATGGCTTCCATGTCCTTTGCTTTCTCCTGCTGTAGTCTATCTCTCATGGATGATATTTCCCTCTCCTATGAAATCGTATTGAAATGTGTTTGTTTGATGAGGTCGCAAACTAAGAGTAGGGCAAACACTTTTAAAACAAAATAGCTCTGATGACGGACGTAATACGTTACATAAATTCAAAAATAACGGCCTTCTTCGTTTAAGAGTGCGTTATTAATTGTTAGCGGAACACTATCTTTACGGCATCATGTAGTTTGCAGCCGCCTAGTCTAATTTAGCAACGCCGTGTTTGCGATCAGATGTTTAGTAAAGACACGCGAATCAAGGGCGGATAGCAGAAATAAAACTACATACAACTGCTCAGCACAACGAGACGCATAAATATCTACTAAAGCAGCAAGTATCCGGAAGAAGATTAATCAAATAACTTCATACAATTTCATAGGCCCGCCAACTTCATCTTTGTCTCAATTATACGCAAAATGTAAGATAATGGGATATATGTTTGTATTTCTATTATCCACATCTGATACGATGGAAGTACCGCTGTGTGAACTCTAGCTTCCGCAGAAAAGAGGACTGAGGATGGGCAAAAAATAAGAAAGGTATATAAACCACTGGCATCACCTGTGTCATTTCCAAGTGACGTATTTGCCTTCTAAGCTCTTCATTCGACTCTTTTCGTTCTTGGTTCGATTTGATTTTTACTCTCAGTTCAGACGCTTCTTTCTTTAACTCCTCCACCATGTTGCACTTCTCGACCAGTGCCTGCACACGTATAGAATTGCAACGAGTTAGTGCTAAATGCGAGATATCTTCCATGCAAATTTCGATAAAGGGAAAGGAAATGACAAGAAAGCTTTAGGCGGCATGTGTCCACTTCAATTTCATTTAAGTTGCAGCCAAATTCATATCCGTAACAATGTTATCATTCTTAGAATCTTGTCAATTTTCACCGATGTGTCATTTTGCCTGCCTTTCGTAAAGTTTCCTAACAAAACAAACGGACTCTTATCACGCTCACGCCAATGTCTAATACTACTGCTGCTACTGTTACTGCTGCTGTTACTGCCGCTGCTACTGCTACTGCGGCTGCTGCTACTATTACTACTAATAATAATAATAAGAAGAAGAAGTGTAATTCACTTCCGCGCGCTATTGGTGCGTCACAATAACTCAATATTCCAAGAGTATAGCTAAGAATGTGTCTATATAGGTATCTAGAATTTTAGAAAGTTATACGTCAAAATCGTTCGCGGAATTTAGAGTTAGTACACTATCCTACGGGCCATAGCCGGCGCGTATATATATTATGCCTATGACGATACGTGCGTATATTTTTGGTAATTAATTAAACTATTTCGTGCTTCAATAAACTCAAAATTCACGGGGATTATAGCTAAGACTCGATTCGTTCGCAAGATATGAGAGTTAATACACTTTCATGCCGCCTATAGCGCAATGCGTATCGCGGGGGGAGGGGGGAGGGAGAAGGTTTAACATGCTGCGTATACATCAGCGAGTACACAATAGAGAGTAATAATAATATAGAGAGTATCAAGTAAGTAATAATAGAGATCTTGATACAGATGCGTCCGTATAGCGGGCGCAGGTCGACACAATTAATCTGTAATTCACTCAGAAGGAATTATCGTCATTGGCACCACCTCTATATTTATAGTAAGCGCATAGGCTTAGGGGGCTTATGTCGGCTTGCGAGGCCGACTCGACTGGAAGCAACTGGCTAGGCAATTCACTGCGACTCGCAGTTGCTTAGGTCGTTCGACTGGCGAACGCGACGTGCCTGCGACTGCGCGCACTGAGTTGCTCGGAATAGAACAGTGGGCAACTGGATCGCAACTAGTCGCTGCCGATGCGCTGTCCAGTTGCTTCGAAATCCAGTTGCTTCCATCGAGTCGAGTGACGCCACTATTCTTCCCTCTCTTGTTTGTTGTGCGTGTGCAAGCTGCGTGGAAGGCACGCACGTGCACACGAACGTGCGTTCACGGTGTTTACTGGCGTGATAATTGCTGGCTCTGTCACATACGATGCCTAGTTACTATAATTTATGATCACGGTATATTTCTACCAGCGTAATGACGTTCGCTGACAAGGCTGACGCTACGCAAACCAACTATATCGATGTAACCCAATCATCGGCATGATTATCTCTTACGATTGCAGTCCAGCGTAACCTACCATGGGATGTATGGTCCAATAGAATGGGGAGAGAGGAATCATACTATTTCTTGATCGCCTACGTTAGAATCGATAAAGCCTTCACGATTCTGTCAATGTACAAAACCGCTAATGCGAAGTTATGTTACCTACTAAAAATTGTGAAGTGATTATCTCTCCTATTACCCATAGTTTGGTATCCGGATTTATCCTCGTAACAGCGATCTGGAGGAAGCTGAACTGTCTATTTATGCATGACAAATGAAAGCGGGGACGTGGCGAAAGCAGACGTGATTTTTGTTATAGGAGAGGAGTGAAAATGGTGCTTCACTGCAAGCCCCCGCGTGTTTATTCTTGCAGGAACATTTAAGTTCTGGAACGAGTCTTATTCTGACCTGAAGAGACAGATGGAGAGGAGTTACAAGCGGCACGAGAGATAACGTCTTAACAACGCTTTCAGTATTCAAGAACTCTTTCAAGAGACGCATAATAGCTAGTGCGAGGTCTGTTCTCGTATATCTAGCGTTTATAAAAGATCGTGTCTTGACAATAAATATCACTACATATTCTAACAAACGTTGTTTATAGTAAATTATAATTAATGTGAGTAAGAGAAATGGTAACTCCGACAATATATAATGTTTACACAAGCTATAGGACTCATCAAAATAGTCGAATTTAAATTTCGATGATATATAAACATAGTAAATTTGATTGCACCGCTTACATGTAACCAGTTTCCATACTACAGCTTGAATAACATTAACGTTTAATACGCGCTAAACATACCAGATATGATTGATATATAGTGTCTGCTAAAAGTGCCTGAAATGTATACTTCGTCAGTATAAAGCCAAAGAAATTTGCGATAGCATAAAAATTCGAGTCTTCTCAGATCATCTCTAGTAATATTGATAATAACATATGGTGTATATAGATTATGATACATGCCGCTGTAGAAAATGTACGTGGATAATATTATTCTTGGCACCGACTTAACCCCGCTAACCGTAAACATGTGAAAGCCAACAAGCTTCAACACACTAAACCTGACCCAACAGGGCCAGAATGCCGCTGAGCTTGCTCTCAGCTGCTATTCCTATGATCAATAACTCGCATTCGATCAAGAGAACAGGGTAGAGCAGCAAATACAGCGCGCGCGACATGATGTATGCTGTGCACGTTCAGGCGTGTGACAGTGGAGTGCAGGCCCTTGTCCGCAGAGCGGCTTTCTCACTCCCTCACCGTGGCACGCATGCATTTTCCCACTTACACCCGCCTCTGGGGCAGTGGCGTCGCACCCATTACTCTGACCGCACACCTGATGGCAGCCCGTTGGCTCACAAAGAACGGAGCACTCGTAATACACGACATACGCCGGAATTGTTTGGCAGCGTGGCTGTTTGCCCTAGCGCTCCACGCAGCCTAAATGTGTATTTGATTACCACGGTCGGCGTGTACGTCACCACCGCGATCCCAGGGGGGGAGGGGTGTCAGCGTGACGTCATCTGGCAGCTCCGCGCTGGCTATTTGTCTGCACGTTAACACGAGTAGAGACGCTCAGCCTAGCGCGTGAGATCGCCACGCCTTGAGCCGACCGCGTGGGGATTTCACGCTTCAGCCCGCGCAATTAGGGCGTGGACTGTCCTGTGATTGACCAGCCGGTGCTCACCCCCTTCGACCCCGTTGACCTTTACTATACGCTTCCAGCGCTGATTATACACGCAAGTTGACGATACGCGCGTCGGCTTGCATACACGCAACTGCGAGGAAGCGGATTTTAACACAAGCTTCCCGCTTTCCGTTCGTGTTCTCGGTTCAACTCAGTATGCGGTTACATCACGCTTCCTCTTGACTCCTCCTGGCTTTCACGAGATCAGCAGTGTAGGAGCTGGGAGAAGCTCCCTCTCCGCGCATGCAGCAGGGGTGCGTGGACTGAGAGGGAATTCGATCCCTGTAGTTTCTCACTTCAGAGCTCCGAAGTCAGCGCTTCTCCAATGCTATCCTTGATCGTTCCTCACACCTCTCTGCGACGCGAGTTCATAGTTAATACACTACATACTCCACATTCTTCGTATGTGCGCGCACTTACTGTAAAACCACTAAACGCTTGAAGGTATTTCACAGGGATGACCAAACTGTCTCATTATATGAGATTTTGATTGATACAATAGTTGATTGTGATCAGGAAGAAAACTCACAAACGTAACTTGCCAAATTTTGGATAACTGGGTGGCTTTATTAGTTTTTATTATGCGGAGGACGCAAAGGTATCTAATCAACGACATTCATGAAACTACGCATATAACATGGTTTTTTTTTCATTAGCTACCATCATTAATTGAATATGAATCTTCGATTTATTTTTATACTATCGCTGTTCACGTAGACAAGCGGGCACTCTTACAGGGACGCAAGCAGCGAACCAACAACAACAATGCAGACTCGTCCAACATACGGCGGAACGTACTTGCTTGAGAGTCAAGTGTTTGGATCCGTTGCGGCAATATATCAGAGCAGGTGAAGTGCTCTCGATCTATATAAGCATGTCCCTGCCAGCCAGCAACTGCAGTGGCCAAGGCAATAGCATCGCCACGCCCTTTGACATCAGCAATCGCCTGCTCTACGTGCTGAAACACAGCAAAAGTCACGTTACTATCGTTTCGTAACCTACGGGCAATAACTATGGTTATTAGTAATACAATGTCTGACTAACGATAAGACTAACGTAGAAGCCTAGCGTCCAGCTAACCTAGATATGCTGATAGATAAGCAAAAAGAGAAACACGCTCTGTATAATTTCCTCAACTCGCCTGTAGTGGTAGCAAGTATGCTAAGAGTACTCTAACTTTCATGAATGAAGCGCACTCACTCTTCTTTAAAGAGAACTTGCAGATGTGATCTGTCTTTCACAATCTTTACCTTGCAGTGTAGCTTTGAGATAAACGCAGGGGAGCCTACCTCTATAATTACGCAGTATACTCGTAACGATGACGCCTTAGTCTAAATGGCTAATATCCACCGCTGATACATATAAATAACTCAATAAAGCCTTCTTTTTATCAATCTTCTCATAGAGTAGAGCAATATAATTACAGTTAAATATTTTTTTCTGCAAATGCACAATGTTTATGTCCGTTTTCTCACCGATCCTCTTTAGACTCATCTCTGTTACTAAGAAATAGATAAAACGCGTTATAGCAGGGCTAATAATTGATCGTGGCAGTTTCGTGCTGCCAAAAGATTTCCAGAAAACATGTCAAACCTTCGAACAGTAATGTAAATCAATTTTGGGCTATGGCATTTAAGACTCACTCGACCTCAACCGAAACCAATGCAAAATGTGAAACTCTAGATGCAGTTTTAACCTTCTAGCTCCTCAGTCAAGGTGGAGAGTGTAACGACTGGATGTTTCGGAGGCCTGAGACACTAGTCCAGGAGTAACTGCATCACCCCAGCCTCTGCAAGTGCACACGAACTGCAGGATGAGAATAATGTTTTGTACACGATTCATCTAGCTGCTAAAATTCTTTTAACGCCACATTCTGATACTTAATGAGGTCTGAAACCGGACTCTTATAACTATATCA